GGGGATGGGCAGGGCTTTGGAAAAAACACCGTCTACTTCGGAAGAGCCCTGCTAGGATCTCGATAAGAGTTCCTTTAGCCCTAAGCCCTAAGCCCTAAACCCTAAACCCCTAAACCCTAAACCCCTACACCCCGAACCGGGCGCTACTAGTACGGCCTTTCTGGCCCTGGTTCGCCTCGCAGGTCTTCTCTTCGATGAAGATGATTTGGAAATGCTCAGCCTCTTGCCTCCGCAAGGAAGCCTAGGTGTTCAGGCTTCGGGTTTAGGGTGTAGGGTTTAGGGTTCAGGGTTTAGGGTTTAGGGGAGGTTTAGGGTGGTTTAGGGTTTAGGGGTGGTGTAGGATGTGGCGGCTTAGGGTTTTGGGTTGGTGGAGCTCAAGGTTTAGAGTTTCTGCCATACTGCTAAGGGCTTCATTAGCACGTGCATTGTGCTTCTCAAGTTTGCCGACATCCTTTGTTGAGTTCAAGCCCATGTTGGATATTTCTGTCACCGTTTGATACTCCCGTAGAGTTCTAGTCAGTCCCGGCAAACATCCGGGTAGACGGGTGCAAGGCCGTCGGTGCCGCGATCGACGCTCTCATCAAGGTCCTGGAGAAGTGCTGAAAGCAAGAAGCTCTCTTGCCCTTCAAAGCTGTCTGAATTGGCGGCGCTGATTCGTTTTGCGAAAAAGGCGGTTGAGGGCTTAGGGCTAAAGATCAAGGTTCAGGATGTAGGGCCTCAGCTTTGGGGCCTAAGGCGCATGTAAGATGTTCAGGGTTTATAGGGTATACGGTTTGTGGTGATGGGGGTTTAGGGCTTTGGGGGGAGGTCGTCGGGTTCGGGTTGTAGGCTTCTAACATAAGGGCCTAAATAATTACCAGTAATCATGGGACTTAGTAAGTATGGTTACAAATACCTTCATTGGGCTTATAGGTAGTTATAAGTATAGTTACCCTAATAATAATAACCTTAGTTACTAAGTCTGGCGCTTGAAGGCTCCGGGGCTTTTTCGGGCTTGGGTCTCTAGGGCTTACAGCACTGGTCGGCTTTCTTTTGTACAGTGGGGGCCTCCAGGATGCAGGTTTACGGCCTCTTAGGGTTTAGGGTTTAGGGTTTAGGGTTTAGGGTTTAGGGTTTAGGGTTTAGGGTAGGGTCTTGGAGCGTTCTGGCTGCAGCGTCCTGGGCTATCCTCCGCACATCGATGCCCTGGCTCCCGACCCTTTGCGATAGCTCTGACGCATGTCCCGGAACATTGCATTGAGTGGTGTGCGATCATCACATGTCTCAAAATCCATGTAACGTGCTACATCATGTTGTACAGAAAATCCATATATGACATACATACATGCAGGCATACACATGCATGCATACATACATACATACATACATACATACATACATACATACATACATACATATATGCACACCCATGCATACACATACATACACATACACATACACATACACATACACATACACATACACATACACATACACATACACATACACATACATATACACATGCAAATAAAAGTTAATGCACATGCACATGCACACACATACACA